ATGTACTCCTTACAGCTCCCTGTAATGAGGACATCAATGCACCTATATATATATGTGTGTGTGTGTGTGTATACGGTTCAACGATCTTTGATGACGTAAGGATATTTTTTTATTCCTATCTTATTTAAAATTTCGTCCCTGATCGAGAATTGTGACGGAACTGCGATAGAAGTGGACATTGAAAATAAGAAAGAGAGATGGAATAAAATCTCGTTTGTCGTCGAAAACTTCGTTTTCGAGAGTTTGAAGATTTTTTAAATACCAAAATGAAATTGATTAATTTTCGATTGGGCATCAGTGAATAAAAAAAAAAAATGTAAAATAAAATTTTATCGTTTTTTTTTTTTTGAGAAAATCGAGATTATATATAATCGATAATTTCGAAAATTAATTCTACGTTTTATTTATTTATTTTTGCTTATTTTCGCGTGTATCTCTTATCGATAATTCATTCGTATTCCAATTGGAAATTATTAATCAATTTGCAAATGCAGCCGAAAAATTTTATCCGTTTTTTTTTAATAAATACGAAATCGTCAGAGAAATGTCTCGTATAATTCATGATCGATTTGAAAAAGATGGAGAAAAATTGTATCAGAGAGAATTAAACAGTAAATCGACATCTGGTGACATGTAAATATGTCGGATGTCGATTTGATTTTAAGGTCGCTTTCATTTCTTTGAATTAAACATTTCGAAGTCGAGTTGCTGAAAGTTACCCGATATACGAACTATAATTAATATAATTGCTGGAAATTATGGCGTGAAAGAAGAAGAATGCAAATGGCCGTTGATGCGGCTCAAGGTTATGGATATTTCTTGGAAATATGCGCATAACTTATCCGAGGTGAGTAAAAGAGATTGCGAAAAAGAGAATGTGCGGGTGTTACATGGAAGATGCGCGTGGAAGGTATTCGTCGAAAGCAATCGTTGAATAATAGTTAATCAAATGGAATCCTTGAATGTTAATTACCTAATGATATTGATTGCATTGAGAGTAAGAGTACGTTATAATAATTGACTCAATAACTGCCTTATCTCCTGTTTAATTTATAATTTTCCTATAATACACACGTGATGAAACTATCTTACAATTCCATCCTTGTTTCGTGGAAAATTGTGGAAAATTAA